ATGCTCCAAACCCAACAGGAAGTCCGCCATTTTGAATTTACTTGTGCCACTTTTGTGCATTTTTGCCCATTTCCAGGGCTTGTAAATTAACGAACTTGTCCTACAGATTTAATCAGATTGGCTCCAAAGTTGGTGTATGTAAGCGTGACTACATTGTGACCAAAAGTTACCACAGGATTTGCCCAATGTTGAATGGCGCGCCCGCTGCCGAGCGTTGAATCTTGAGGTCTCACCATGAAAAACGAAATTGCTGTAGCATTGGTATAAATGGCCTGTCTCCACCAAACTTCATATGATTCATATTAGTCCCGCCCTGAACACATTTTCATTACCATATTTCCTTATACTCATAGTGCCACCTAGGGTCTCATCAAACACTTATCTTTCAATTTATCTGAAAGTTACATGCTGTGGTATATATTTGATGTATAAAAACATGATGTATGATTAGTGCATACTCCAACTCCCTCTAGTGGAAAGAGGAAGTGATACAAAATGTGAAATATGTCATTCCAGCACTGTATCAAGGATATGCCAAGTCACTCCTGCATGCAATGTCTAACTTTGACAGAAATGACACGCCAGAAGGCGTCCTGCCAGCCCCCCCCGTCCCCCCCCCCGAGTTGCGTGAAGGTGCTAGGGCCCGTTCATCGCTGCTTGCAGCTTTAATTATTATTATTATTCCTCCAAATGAATTGCCTTTTGGGGAGGCTTAACATACCGGAAAACTCATGAAAGTTTGCACACATCTCAGAACTGGCGAAAAATTTGTATTTTAAGGGTCTCGTGTGGGGGTTTCAAAAAATGGCTCAGTAGCCGCCCCTACAAAAGTTTGAAGAAACAGCCCCTGCAGCTAGTTTTACCTACATGTATTAAACTTGGTCGGCTTATGTAACACTTTGAGATGTACAAAAAAGCCTCTTGGAGGCATGCTCTAAACCCAACAGGAGGTCGGCCATTTTGAATTTATTGTGCAATTTTGGTGCATTTTTGGCCATTTCCAGGGGTCATAAATGAACAAACTAGTCCTAGAGATTTCATCCGATCGACTTCAAACCTTGGTCTGTCCCAACCCAAGACCTTGAAGATGAAAAGTAAAAGCTTGAGTTTTCGTCAATGTGTGTGACCGTGGGATGGCGTTAAAGTTAGGGGTCTCCTAACTAAACAGGAAGTAGTTTATAACTCCAGCATACATGGTGCAATCTTGCCCAAACTTCACAGGATTAATGATAGTCCCACCCTGAACACATCTACATGTCAACAATTAGTGATAAATATAGCGCCCCCTACTGGCAACAGGAAATGTCATGTTTTAGATTTTAATGTACATCTCCTACAAAGTTGACCAGATCCACCTCAAACTTGGTGAAAAAAGCCATAAGAATTCAAATAAACACAAGAAGTTTGTGCTCTCAAAAAGGATCAACACTCAGTGAAAAACCTAAGCCCTATGATAAGCTAATATGGCAAGGCTTAACTATACAAACCAATGAGCAGTGATAACTAGCATGTCTTTGGGGTCATCGGGAACCTCCTTTCACCAGTGTTTCGTCTTGTTGGTCCCACGACACCTCCAGGAGGCTAGACAGTGATCTCTGGCGTCCCAGAGACACTCCCCTAATGCCAGGTCTCACTGCTCCCCACACCAACCAATAATCTCCTTTATCTTACTTACACATGGCTTTCTCAGCCCAAACAGCACTGCAACCTTCAACCAAACCCAGGCTCCGTACATGCGAGCTCCAGGCAGAAGCAATGCTGATACTACCTTTCCTATCACATTCACCATACTCTATATTTTACACGCTACATAGCATAACTACAATATAAGCTAAAGTTAAAGGAGCTAACTGAACTTACAGGATCAGCAAGCACACTCACCTTGCCGCATGGCCTCAAACAAAATGGATTCCAATAGGCCAATCCCACACTTAAATACTTCCTCTTCCTGGATTTCTCCTGAAAGGAAGTGGATCTCTCCACCTGATCTAAAGGAGTTATATGCCCTGCTTAGTAGTTCCCCCTGCTGGCCCCCAGCTGACATTATTTCTTCTGTAATAGATAAACTGGCTGCATTTAATTGCTTTATCTGACATTTCCCTCACTGTCTTCCTCAAATTCTGTCCCCGCACTCCGAGTTCCCCCAGGAGTGAGACAGTTGATCTTGCTATGAATCCCCTACACCCCACTTCCACTGGACAAATCCTAGTCTTCCATCCTCGCTGCTCAGTTTCTGCTCCTAAGTCTGCATATCTAAGCTTTTTTCTTTCATAGGCTTCTTCCACTGAGTCTTCCCAAGGAACTGTCAGCTCAATGAAATAAACTATCTGTTGACTCACTGACCACAACACTAAGTCAGGCCTCTGCCTGGTACAGACTATTTCCTGAGGAACAACAAGCTTTCCCCCTAAATCTACTTGCATTTCCCAATCACAAGCACCTTCTAGGCGGCCACACCCTTGCCTCCTCACTAACTTATCCCTTCTGTATTTCTCTCCCTCACGGACAAACTGAATTACTAAGCCCCTATCCTTAACACCTTCTGAATTCACCTGTCTTCGTTTCCCTTCGATGCCTGCAGCTAAACATTTCAACACCTGATTATGTCGCCATGTATATCGGCCTTGTGACAAGCTAACTTTACAGCCTGACAAAATATGCTTTAAAGTTGCGGTACGTGAACACAATGGGCATGATGGGTCCTCATTTACCCACAGTTTTAGGTTCTGGGGGGTTGGTAACACATCGTATGTAGCCCCTACCAGGAATCTAATACGATTCTCCTCCATACTCCACAGGTCCCTCCAACTAAGCTTCCTCTTCTCTACACTTTCCCAATTCAACCACTGTCCCTGTTTAGCCTGGGCCACTACCTTTGCACCCCTTACTATCTCTTCCTGTCTGCGTATCTGTTCTACAACCAGCTTTCTTTTATCTTTGAGGCCTGCTGTATTCCATACCGGTTTACCTGAGCCAAGCCCCAGGCCTCCCCGGCCAAACTGAACATTACCTACAATCTCTGCATGTCTAAGAGCTGCCTCTGCCTCCTGAACTGCCGATCTTGGGTTCCACTTCCTCCCCTTGGTTGGATTTGGAACCACACTCCTAACTACCACGTCCTTACTCCCAGATAACAAGAGCTCTGTCCTGACCTTGGTACATTTAAATTCCTCTGTTAAACTAGATACTGGCAGCTGAAGTATCCCTTTTCCATACAATGCAACACTACTTAGGCACCTAGGAGCGCCCAACCACTTCCTAATGTAGGAGCTAACCGACCTTTCCATTCTCTCCACAACAGATATTGGAATTTCATAAACTGACAATGGCCACATTAACCTAGGATATAGCCCAAATTGCAAACACCACAACTTCAACTTTCCTGGAAGTTCTGATTTATCTATTCTATCCAATCCTTCAGCCACATCTTTTCTAAATTTCACCACCTGTTCCTTATCATTCAACTCTACATTGTACCACCTACCTAAGCTCTTTACTGACTTTTCCCTAATTGTTGGGATGTCCTCATCATCTATGACAAACTTCCTATCACTTAACTTCCCTCTACATATCGAGATGCTTCTAGATTTACTAGGCTTGATTTTCATGCTGGCCCACTTGAGGTTCTTATTTACCTTCTCTAGTAGCCTCTTTGTACATGGCATTGTTGTGGTCACCAGTGTCATGTCATCCATGTAAGCCCTAACTGGTGGAAGATGCAACCCATTCTGCCGTCTCTCCCCACCTACCACCCACTTAGAAGCCCTGATGATTACTTCCATTGCCATAGTAAATGCTAATGGAGAAATTGTACACCCTGCCATGATGCCTATTTCTAGCCTCTGCCAACCTGTTGTGAAACCTGCTGTACTTAGACACAACCTAATATCCTGAAAATATGCTTTCACTAAGTTAACAACTACCTGTGGCACTCTGAAGTAGTCAAACGCACTCCAAATGAGGCTGTGCGGTACTGAACCAAACGCATTTGCAAGATCTAAAAATATTACATGTAGGTCCCTTTTGTTAATCTTCGCTGCCTGAATCTGGTGCCAGATCATGCTAGTATGCTCTAAACACCCTGAAAAACCTGGTATTCCTGCCTTCTGCACCATGGTATCTATTAAGCTATTCCTTTCTAAGTAGCTAGCTAGTCTCTGCGCTACTACACTAAAGAAAATCTTCCCCTCCACATTCAAGAGAGAAATCATCCGGAACTGGCTAAGGTCCACAGACTCCTTCTCCTTAGGAATGAGGACACCCCCTGCCCTACGCCATGCTCTTGGTATAATTTGTTTTTCCCAAACTATTCTTAGCTGTTTCCACAAAAATTTAAGGGTATCAGGCGCACTTTTATAAACCCGGTAGGGGACTCCATTAGGCCCTGGGGCCGAAGAAGCCTTTGCACGCCTGACCACCTCCTGAACTTCCTTCCACCTAGGTGGCCTGACATCCATCTCATGCTCTATCCCTCCTAATGGAGGGATATCAGGTGGGAAACCTACTATCCTATTCTTCTCCAAATCTGAATACGTGTTTCTCAAATATTCTTCAACCTCTAACCTTTCTGCTTTAAGCTGCCCTCCCTTTTCCTGGCTGAACAATCCTTTAACAAACTTAAAAGGGTCCCTGAAAAAACCTGTCCTAGCATATTCCTTCTTCCTCCTCTTTTTCCTGAGATGCTCCGCCCTTCTAAGAACTGCTAGCCTGCTTCTCAACTCCTCTTGCAACACCTTAATTCCCTCCCTTTCTTCTTCTGTAGCCTTTTTCCACTGCTTTCTTAACTGTCTCCTTTCCTTGACTAACTTCTCTATTTCTCTCTGCCGCCTAGACTTACCTGACTGTACCCTCTCACTCCTCTTTCTCTCATGCACCCCAAACCTCTCTACACCATATGAATACATTATATCTCCCATCTTTTCTAACCTTTGTATTGCATTTCCTCTAAGCCTACTCAAGATTACTGACAAGTCTCTATTAACTATCTCCCATTCTTTACTGTCATTTGCTCTAGGCCATCTAACTCTAACCTTTTGCTCCATGGTTCTCTCTCTGACTGGCATACTGGCCTCAGTGTCACCTGCATCCTCTCTTACTACCCCCTCCACCCCCTCCTCCTCAGTGGCAGCGTTACTGATATCCTGCGAACTGTGGTTTTCTACCTGCCGCTGGACTTCATCCGACTGACTCGACTGACTTCTTAGGAAGTACTGATCAATGCGGCTACTCTGCCCTTTCTTTGCCACACACTTCTTCTTTCCCTGATGAGTTCTGAGGCCTTTCACCGATGTTACTTTCTGCCAGCCGCAAGGACAAACCTGAAGCATCTTGCTCTCAACTGTGCTACTTTTATCCTCTACAGATGCACTCGCCTTGCCCTGAGTGCTGCTAATTCTAGCCCTGGTGGATAGGTCCATGCCCCTATCCTTCACTGAGTCACAGATCCAAGTCATAGTCGTGTCCGTTCCAATGTCTGTTACCGTGTAATCCACCTGTGAGACATTGATGACGCTTTATTGTGTAAACTGTGAGTTTTTGTCGAGTTTTTGATGTTTCGCCATGATGATAAATGTTGCTGTAACTTGACTCCATGTGGGCATATCTTGCCAAAATGTCACACATATGATGACAATCCAGCCCTGAACACATCTACAGAGGAATTTTGAATCACCGTCATAGTGCCACCTACTGGCAACAGAAAGTTACTGTATTCATTCTTTGATGTCCTTCTTCTAGCAGGTTAATCAGACCCACCTCCAACTTGCTGATCTAAGTCCTTAGACCTTGATGATACTTAAAAATGAAGCTTTTGAGTTTTCATCAAATGCTGTCACTGTGGCACCACTTTGTTTGTCATTAAACATGATGTTACTTTGAAGGGACAAGGGATGCTTCAAAACTCACCAAACATGGCATACACATCACAGGTCACAAGTCCTGTTGTCTGATGTTAATGTTGTGCTTCGATGCACCAAGATGGCTCAACAGTGCCCCCTAGAATATTTCCGTTAAGCAGCCCCCAAAGCTGGTTTGACTTGCATATATGAAACCTGGTAGGCACCTGTGACACTCAATCACGTTCAAAAAAGCCTCTTGGAGCCATGCTACAAACCCAACAGGAAGTCCGCCATTTTGAATTTACTTGTGCCACTTTTGTGCATTAAAATTCTCAGGAACAGTGATCCACAGCGTCTGGCCGGGCAGTGCGATGCGGGTAGCGGTGTTATGTTGGTCATATGTTAGAACAGCAGTGCTAGCTGGAGTGTTGACTAGCCAGTAGCTTCCTACAATCTGTGTCAGTGACCTGAGATTGGGATGTTACCGTTGTTGGGCATCGGGCATCCGGTGCCATAGACTTGAGGCCACATATCCCATCCGTGCTATCGCGGATAAACGGCTTACTGGGACATAGGTAATGGATATCTCTGGTCAGGGTGCACATGCGCAAATTTGGGGCTAGGTACAGGTCTGGGCTATTATCATGGTAAGCGATGACTGGAGGGTTCTGCACTTTAACGTGCACATCACCCTGCCAGAATCCGACATTTACTACATCCTTTAGTCGATAGATGTTTTCGGAGGTCACGATTGGCAGATTGATAATAAAAGCCAATTCTCTGTCTTCAGGATTGACGTAGATTGGAACCGCATTACCTAAAGTGTAGGCGAAATGGGCTTGAAGGGGAGTGACCAGACCTCGAGTAGCCGCAGTCAGGAGCCTCTGTACCAGAGAAAGAGGGACGAGATATGGAGGAATCCTACCTATAACTAAGCTGTCCATGGAGGATCCAATATCTCACAGCTTGTCTGACATCAATGCGCTAACGAGTTGCGTATGAGCATAATCAACTTGCACAACAGAGAGGAGGGAATTAACCACATGGAGTGTTTTGTTTAATGTCTCACTGTGGGTGTTTACCATTAGGACGGTTCCTTGCACTGTCTGTCCTATGGTTTGAAGTTGGCTTTGTTGTTGGTTAATTTGTGCTTTGATGTCTGGGATTTCGTCCTGGAGTTCGCCTATGTGGCACTTAACGGTGGACAGGCTTACTGCATTGACTGAGGAGAGTCCAATGCTGAAAAGGGAGCCAACAGCGGCAGCTGCGGTTAGCAGCCCACCAATAAACCGTTTGGCTCTCTTGTTGTGTCCACCTAGTTCTGATTGGGTAATTGTGAAGTTCTGTAGCTGCTGCAACATGTGGGTCGTGTCTGCCTCGCCATGGCATATAACCTCCTTGTTCCAGCTCGTGCCAGCCCAACTGGTTAGCTGAGCTGTGACAGGGATGTTCTTTTCACATACCTCCAGGGGGTTCAACCTAACAAACACCCTTTGTGTGTGTAGGCGACAGTCAGTGATCAGCAGCCCGGATTGTTCCTTCAGAACAATCCCAGAGTCAGGTCCTGGTTCTATGATCTTGGGGAGCACCGGTGCAGTGATCAGGCCAAGGGTCAAGATGATGAGCAGCAAAATCATCCTGATGAGGGAAATGTACATGGTTAGGGAGAAATTTGGACTGTGCTATGTAGATTGGATTAAAGAATCAGTAGCGGGTGAAATATAGTGTCACCCCCACTTATAACAAAATGATAAGGTTGGGTTGGAGAGAGGGAGAGACAATAACTCGTGGTGAAGCTGGTGGTGTCAGAATAAAGTATGAGATACCTGGCTTTAAGGTAGTTTTGGTACCGGTGTTACACAATACTGGCACTCTTGTTTTATTGTTTAGCAATTCACGATTTATTTTCCACTATTAATTGTCACCCCAAATGTTTGACTACTCCCTTTAAAAACTAAACAGAGACGTTGGCGTCCTCGTTACTTCCCATGGGGGTTTTGTGAGGCTTGATCTGCTTAGGATGAACCCATTTGAGAGTAGGTTCTCTCTGGCCTCTTTTGATTCAGATCTGGTACACAACGGCTGAGAGCTTTGTAGTGTAATGTACCGATTTACTGTTGTGTTTATACTGTACCTTTAAGCTGACCTTTAAAGATATGTGTTGAAGCAATGTACTCTGTGCACTGACAAGTCACACACTGGTTTATTATTTCATGTATTCCTTTGACACATACACTCACTGAGCACTTAAGCATTGTGGTGGAGAAGTACCTAGGATTCACTGTGCATCTTTTTTTTTTTTTTTAAATAGCATGATGATGGGCTCAGAAATATTGGTGGAAAGTTAGGGGAATTCCAGCTTGGCCTGATATGACTCTGGTAATAGGAGGCGGGCCTAGACTGCAAAAGAAAGGCATTACACAGTGAAATTGGCTCCAAGGGAGAAAAGGAGAGCGGGGATACTATTATGTAATATGTAGAATAGGCTGGCTTCAAGGGAAGAACGGAGAAGCCGTGACACTGTTATGTTCAGCCCAAGTGGGTAGGATGAAAGAAAAAAAGGTGGAGACTCAGCAGAATCTTCACCATAAAAGCGAATGCAGAGACAAAGAAATTCCAGTCTTGCTCCGGAGCTTGACTCATTGAGTTGATGTGCTGATGCCTGCGTGCACATTAAACTCTGTTGTACCTGATTCTACGTGTCTCCAGTGATTTTTTGACCTCTGAGTATTTGAGTTTTTAATATTTAATAGAAAACAAAGAAAGTTTGTTCAAGAAGAAGGGAACGAGGTCGCGAGCTTTCTGGCCCAGCTCCAGACCTTAAAGGGAAATTTCGGTTTATTTCAACCCATCTCCTATCGTCCTAAATTTGTTTCAAGTCACTAGTGACATAGAAATAATAGTTAGCATGTTAGCCGTTAGCCTAGATACAGCCGTAGCGTCAGACCTGTTAAAACGTAATTGAATGGGCATCCTTTCAAGTGCAAAGTTAGTCCACTAAACAAGCTTTTTCTCCACAAAGACCACCTCATATCGTTCGGATAAATGTCAGAAAACGACATGTAAATGTGTTGTCTTACCTTACCGGTGTGCTGCCATGTTTGTTGTTTACCATTTAGCTAAGGCTGCAACCAGTCCCATTCCTTGCAACAGAGGTATTCCTCTTCTGTGGGCATTGGGGTACAGCATTCACAGGTAATGTTACACCACCAATCTCCAGAGCTAAAGCCTTCCAGCAGCCATTCCTCCTCTGTCGTCCTCTACCTGTTGTGCCTCTCTCTCTCTCCTCCTCCGTTCTTCAATTTCACGAAGCTCTTCGTCAGTGTATTCTGGCTCAAATAAATAAGGGCGGCCATCGACTCTCGATGTGGAAAGCCTATATACTAACATTCCACATTTAGGTGGTCTTCAGAGTTGTTGTCTTACCTTACGGTGTGTTTACCATTTACCTCTGCTTCCCAAAGCGTGGCCAAAATATCGTGACAACAAGCAGCTATCTCATACCGTGCCTGAAATCTCGCGAGAACAAGCAGCAGCAGCTGCAAGGCAGAACCGGACAGTAGCCTGAAAAGTTCATTCATTTATTTTATGAAAGATTTATAGAATAATGGCTGAATTTTTGCCAGACTTCAACTTTGTGGAGGAGGAATTTGATTTTGCAGAGTTTGATGGCTGCCCTTATTTATTTGAGCCAGAATACACTGACGAAAAGCTTCGTGAAATTGAAGAACGGAGGAGGAGAGAGAGAGAGGCGCAACAGGTAACGTTAGAGGATGAGAGGAGAGGAATGGCTGCTGGAAGGCTTTAGCTCTGGAGATTGGTGGTGTAACGTTACCTGTGAATGCTGTACCCCAATGCCCACAGAAGAGGAATACCTTGGTTGCAAGGAATGGGACCGGTTGCAGCCTTAGCTAAATGGTAAACAACAAACATGGCACCACACTGATAAGGTAAGACAACACATTTACATGTTGTTTTCTATATGTTCTCTGACATTTATCCTAATGATATGAGGCGGTCTTTGTGGAGTCTTTGTGGAAAAAAAGCTTGTTTAGTGGACTAACTTTGCACTTGAAGGTATGCCCGTTCACTTACGTTTTAACAGGTCTGACGCTACGGCTGTATCTAGGCTAACGGCTAACATGCTAACTATTATTTCTATGTCACTAGTGACTTGAAACAAATTTAGGACGATAGGAGACGGGTTGAAATAAACCGAAATTTCCCTTTAAAGTTTGTTTCTACAGCTTCTCTGTGATCACGTAAGGACCTTCCCAGCGGGGAAGAAAGTTGCGAGTGAGTTTTCCTGGACCCTGGTTGCTCCCTCCAGTTGGTTGGGCAAAGATTTAGTACCAGACTTTGTCCCCCACTTGGAGTTCATCATAGGACGCTTTTTGGTCGTAGTAGGCCTTGGGTCCTTCCACGCTGTTTTCTAGATTTTTCTGGGCAAAGGCGAATGTGGCCTTTAAGTGTTTTGTTCAAGTCAGTCATATACTGATGGGTCGTATATGCTGTTGCGATGTTAGCTTCACCTGGCTGGTAGAGCAGGTGTAGGGGGAGGGTCATTTGTCAACCCGTCATCATTTGTAAGGGAGAAACTCCTGTTGTTTGGTGGGGAGTGGCTCTGATGGCCATCAAGACCAAAGGCACTTTTACATCCCAATCTTTGTGGTTGCATGCCACATACTTCTTTAGTATTTGGACTATCGTTCGGTTCGCTCGCTCTACCTGTCCCGAAGCTTGAGGGTGATGACTGACGTGGAAGTTAGCCTTCACGCCCAACATCTCCCAGAAATGTTGCATGGTTTCAGCAGTGAAGTGTGTCCCCCTGTCTGAGTCGACACGACTGGGCAGACCAAACCGAGAGAAGATGTGGTTCATCAGTAAGTATGCAGTGGTTTGGGCTGTGTCATTTGGGACTGGCAGGCCCTCCACCCATTTGGTGAAAGCGCAAGTGACTGTGAGGAAATAGTTGTTTCCTCGGTTTGATTTGGTTAGAGGCCCCACCCAGTCAATCTGCAAGTCTGACCATGGGAAAGCAATGCCTCTTCGCTGTAAGAGAGCTCTGTGGAGCGGTCTTGATGGATGAAACTGGCAGCAGACTAGGCAGCCTCTGATGTAGTCTGCCACATCTTTCTGCATGTGTGGCCAGTATGCCACCTGCTGGAGAGCTTTATATGTTGCTTTAGTTCCTTTGTGTCCTGCGCATGGGGAGTCATGGGCATGCATTAGCATCACCCCCCTGTGGCTCTGAGGCACTACAAATGCAGGTGAAGCGAGTGTATCAGAGACATGCACCAGAAGGCCGTTGACGACACGTAGCGCAGAACGTGCATTGTACAGGTGCCGCAAGCCAGGAATGGATTCAAGATCATTGCCAGAGATGGTATGGACAGCAGGGTCAGACAAGGAAAGCAACATTTTATTGATGGCAAGATCAAGAGACTGGAGGGAAACCAGATCAGTCAGTAAAGGCAGGAGTGACTGCGAGAGGGGCCCACACAGGTGCGGCAGTTGGAGTGGAGGCTGCCGCTCGAGCCCGAGTGATTGCATAAACCGAAGGGGTGGGAGGGTTGTGGAAAGCTTCTGGGCAGAGTCGCCAGGGTGTCCCGTTGATGGCACCTTGTTTTTAGCCAGAGAGTCTGCTTGGTCATTGAGCTCTTTGTCTTGGAGTGGCCGTTGACTTTTTTCCAGTAGATCTGCATGTCATATGTTTCGACCAGGTGATCACAGGCCATGAAGAGCTCTCTGTGTCGAACAGGTTTCCTGTTTGATGTTATGAAGCCATGATGTTTCCATGACAGCAAATGGCAGGAAAAACTGAGACGCGCGTAGCTGGAGTCAGTGCAGATGACAATAGTTTTGACATTTTGTTCAGCAGCCAACTGAAGCACAATGAGAATGCCCGCAATTTTGACATATTGGGAGGTTTGCGGACCCAATTGGAATTCCTTTGGGTCGTATGGTATGTTGTTGACCCATATCACACCAACACCGGCACGGACCTGAGCCTCGTGATGAAAGGAGCACCCGTCCACGTATGCTGTGATCATGTCTTTGCCGATGTTCTGATCGAAGTAGTGGTGATGTGAGGGTTCAGACGGAGGAGGCTCACAAGTCAGAATGGAAGTTGAAGGCACATCGTCAGCACACCGTTGACAGGCAGCGAGTTCGGTGCCTAAGGGGTTCTTTCGTTTTTTGTTGTAATGCGCTTCCATGTCAAAGCTCTGTAAAGCCATCAGCCATGAGGCGACACGAGCATTGGTCACCACATCTTCTCGAATTCGTTGACTGTTAAGGAAAGTTGCAGGTTGGTGGTTGGTCTCAACAATCACTTTCTGGCCACCAAGATAGTTCGAGAAATGCTTGACAGCCCACACCGTGGCAAGCAGTGCTTTTTCACAGTCTGTGTACTTGAGCTCAGGGGCCAGCAGAGTTTTGCTGGCATATGCTACGACGCATTTTTCAGCGTCATGGAGCTGATATAGACCTGCACTCATGCAGTGGTTAGAAAATCCAACTTCCAGATGGAATTCTTTCTGACAGTCGAGGTAAGCCAAACAGGGCGTTGTACAGAGCTCATCTTTTAAAGCTTGCATAGCTCGTTCCTGTTGCTGGTCCCACACAAATGGAGCATCTTTCTTTAGCAAGTCCGTCAGGGGTTTGGCCAGGTCTGCGTAGTTCTCGATGAAGTGTCGAGAATAGTTGCAAACTCCCAAAAAGCTGCGGAGTTCAGACACGATTGATGGTGTCTTGATGGTTGCAATGCCTTGAACTCGGCTCACTTGTGGTTCTGCACCCTTTGATCCCACAAGGAGGCCCACATAGTTCACTTTGGTTTTGCACCATTGGCATTTGGATAAAGAGATCTTTGCTCCAGCGGCCGTGAGTTGGCCTAGCACATGATCTATTTCTGCCAAGTGAGAGTCCAGAGTAGGACTTTGTACTAAGATGTCGTCAACGTAAATAAGGGATCCCTGGCTACTAGCATCGGGGCATGCCTTTTTCAGAAAGATGTTGAATTCAGCAGGTGAGTTAGCATAGCCAAATGGACACCTGGTGAAGGTGTATTGACGACTCGCAAAGGTGAAGGCCAGTTTATGTTGGTCTGCAACATGCACTGGGATGGTCCAGAAACCTGATGCCACATCCTGATTTTATGTTCTCAGGGTTAGGAGAGTCAGGTTCATCCTGGGCTCCGGTTAAAGACCAAAGAATGTTGTTGATTGTGTCCAACTGGGCATCCAATCGCACCAGTATGTCATTGCTAATGCAGACTGCATGTGGCAGGTTTGGGATGACAAGAAAGACATGGAATAATTGTCTCTGACCCCATTGTAGTTTTAGGGCGCATGCGCCAACAGCTTTCATCGTCATCTTGGGCAAAGGGTCTAGAGTGAAACGAGAGGATCCCTGTAACAGCTGCACATGGGGATTTTGTTGTGTCAGTGACTCATAGAGCTTTTGAATGATAGCTGATGCATCGGCCCAGAGAGCTAAGGTTATGTCATTGACGTAGGCATTTTCAAGTTTGATGCCGTTTACCACTTTTAGGCAGTATTCACTTTCTCCATCAGAATCAGCGAACAGAAAGGTGTTTCGTTGTGCCAACGATTCATTTTGATGCCATGGTGATGTTGGCGAGGTTTCAGAAGTTGTGCTTGGCGTATTGCCTTCCCTAGTAACCTCCGGTGGGTAGCCTTGGGCCTTTAGTGACACTGACTCTGTGTCAAGAACACAGCACTGAGCTGCACCGTGTTGAGGAAGGGAGATAGTCAGAGGTTGACGAACCTGTGCCCAGATGTTTAGTCGTTTGAAATCAATTAGTGGTTCAAACCAATTGAGAAGATCCTTGCCGACTAGAAGAGGAATGGTGTCGAGGGATGACATGTACACGGGGTGGACAAGAGTCACTGGATAGTCAGCTGCACCAGTGCCATGACTTTCAACGTGGTGCTATGGGGACCTCGAGAGAGAAGGTCTGCAGTTTCAATTCCTTGTTGGAGCGACGTGCTATTGCTCGCAGTGTATTGAACAGGGTCGCCGACATCAAGGTGATATCTGCGGCAGTATCAAGGAGTGTTTCATGCACGAGTTTGTCTTCAAGTGTCATGGACAGATAGAATTTACAAGTGACCCCTTTCTCGGTGAGGTGGCACAAGAACTGTTGGAAGGGTGGTTCACCCTGTATGGTTAGGGGGTTCTTCTTGGAAGAATCATCTTTTGAGTCCAGCTGAACTACCAAGACAGCACTGGGAGGAGTTAACTGAGACAAGTTTTGTTCAGGAGAATTGGACTGGACTGTCGTGACCCAGTTTGAAAGCAGTGCAGGCTCAGGTTAACAGGGGTCCAGATAGCTTTCTTCCGCCTCTGCCTCAGGTGAGTGGGTCAAAACGGCCTGAAGGGAGGGTTCAGAGCATGCGGAGGTGATGGAAAAGAGGTCGGCTTTATCCTTTTTCTCTCTACGTATGTTCTGTATGACGCGTCTGATAGCGTCAAGTTCTTCCTCGCTAAGATCAACTTTTGTAGACTTACCTCTGGAGTCATTGTCCTTCTTTGTTTTTTCTTCAGACGGATCCTGCTTTAGCGGTTGTTTGTCCTGTAGGTAAGTGTCTTGTACCTTATGTCGGTCACTTTCTTTGTGGTCCTGGGCTGGGCGGCTTCTCCCGTTGGTTTGGTGAAAACTTATCTGATCCGTAGTTGGGGAAATGGTGATTCCCCTTAAACTTTGGTTTCTGGTTCTGACTCGACCAAGGTGGTCATGAGTAGCCATTACTTTGATGGGCTGGTTTAGGTGGAGGTGGTTTTTCTGTCCGACCAGGCTGATGAGTTTTGGGAGGGGTTTTGCAGTGGTCATATGGTTTGCTTTTGGAAATCCCCTCCAACTCCAAAGTTGTAGCTTCGAGACTCAAGATTGTATTGGGTTCTCCGTGTTTAGTCAAATTTTGTTTTTGTTTAGCAAAACCCTTTAAAGTGAGTTCTCGTAGGTGTCCACTTGTTAAAGTGCGAGGACATGCCGCGACACCAAGATGGACACTGACAAAGCCTTGAAGTGCAGGTCCTCCTCCATCCCAGGTTCATTTCTGGAACCAAAGTAGGTGAGACGTAGGCGATGATAATATTGCTGAGGAGATTCATTTCTTCCCTGTTTGACTGTCATGGCAGAGGTCAAGCCAGTTTGTGAAAGGTAGTCAGAGAATTCTTCAAGCAGTGCTTGGCAAAGAAGGGGGTAGTCAGTCCTGATATAATCAGGCTGGCGGTTAATGAAAGCACTGACGTCTCGACTAGAGGTCACCTTGATAAGGTAAATCTTGTCATCGACTGTGGCATTCCGAAAATTTCCGTAGATAGAAGTCAATATCTCTGAGGTAGAGATTAGTGTGATGTGAACCACCAAGACTGGATTCAAAGTGAGTTATGTTGCGTGCGATTTTATCGAGGTCTCTGTCTGAGGGACCCTGCGCAAGGTGAGCACCAGTCGCTGGGTCGGGATGTCGAGTGAAGGCCCCCCCGGTTTGATCAGCTTGGGGCCGGATGTCCCGAGAACGGGAGGCATGTTCATGCGATAACAATGGAGAAGATTGTAAGATTAGGTCTTCCTGAGATGATTTCAGAGACTTGGTATTTCTCTTGGCTTCAAGGGGAGGTTCATCAAGAAATACTCTGCGGCTTTGGCTCTGTTCAAAGGAGTACTGTAACTCTCTCTTTGCATCTGCAAGTTCTTCTTCCTTAATAAACTGTTGGCGTTGCGACTCAGCAACTCTGTCTTCGGCGTCCGCCAGTTGTCGCAGATTGCTGATCTGCTCTTGATCAATATCTTTATACTTAGACTGGACTTTGACTTGGGCTTTAAAGTCTCTTATTTCATTGAGGGCTTTCTT